TCAACCAAGTCAGCGAGCCTTACCACTCGATCCCGTTAGTCGCCTCTTACGACAAGCATAGTCGCCTTTTATGGCAAGTATGGGTTGCTGATGTAGAAAAGGGTTTGATTCACCACATAGGTACAATGGGTGAAGCCCTGTTCTCCCCATTGTGATATTGCTGGAATAGCATAAACTCTAACTCACTCACACGTAACTGAAGTCTGCACGAGTCACAGCAGTCTGAGGGGCCAGTTGTTGTCTCCATTTTGTGGCAGTATAATTTTAATGCCATCTTGCAGAATGCACTCAGCATATGATATAATTTAACACACGCTAAGCTGGTAAAAAGTGTTCCAATGTTTTTCAAAACATTATGAGAAGAATTCACACATAAATGACCTTCAATTACAACCTTGAGACCAGGGACGCTATATGCCAATTCAAATTCTAGATAAAGAAATGTTAAAATAATCATATTCAATCCATCAAGATACAATGTTAAGTTTATGCATGGAGCGTTTCAATTATGTTGGAAATGCAATTATTACTGTAATTGTATATAAAAAAATTGGTTTGAACCAGTTTGTGTATTGTTCAAATTGAAATATAATTTTCACTTACACTTCCCATCTGGTGTCCTGTGCTAATTATCCCTTGATATTCAATTCCTTCTGTTTTTCCATGTTAAAAGTCTATAGGTCAGTTTTTAGCTGGAACTTGACATTCAGGCTTGTATCGCCTCAAGACAGACACGGCTAATTATACACGCTGCGTCCCTCCAACACCGTGGACACATGCAGTATTTATGAATATTGATGTATATAATCAATTTTTGGCTAGGTTGAAGTAAACAGTCAGCCAAACACTGTCAACATTTGCAGGAAATAATGAGAGCTCTCATTATCATGGTCGTCTTTACAGTCAGTATTTGTACTGGGAGTGCGATGTCATCTCAGGATGAGGGTTGTCAGTGTTTTAACTAGTAAATAACTTGTTCTGTCACATTATATTGTTGTAAATTGTAGACTGTAAATACAGTATTTAATATAGGAATATGATCTTTTAAGTCCTTTTCATGTGTAGGTACTGTGTAGTCTCAGTGATGGAGTTACAGGTTCTCATGTTCCTATAAAGCAGTGAATAATGTGTGGATTGGCTGATCAAAATGGTGGCCTGGCTGCATTGGTGTATCATCATACTCATGTCACATAAGGGGCGGTAGGGTAGCCTAGTGGTTAAAACGTTGGCTCATAACATCAAAGACCTGGGTTTTATTCACAGTGACACATGGGTAAACTACGTGAAGCCCATTTTCCGGTATCCCCCGCCGTGGTATCGCTGGAATATTGCTAAAATCGGTGTAAAACCCTACTCACTCACTCACTCATGTCACATAGACCTCGATTTAGCCTTGGTAGTAGCTTTGCTCCTTGGCAGTATTGAATGCTAAGTCCAGGGATGTATAGTCTTTCTATCCTTATAATAGGCAAGTCTAGTTACGAGGACAGGGCTCTGCTCAGTAACAACTGTAGCGCTACAACAGTCTTAAGTCTACGTTAAAATATCAGAGTTATGATCCTCTTAGCACTGCGATCGATCTGTGGAACAGGGCCGAGTCTTTTATAACAGAGGGACAACCTCTTATTATTTATAGAATCTTGAATAATAACTTAAATTTATAATCAATTCGTTAGAGACTTGTGCAAGTCTGCCTTGGTAGCTAATTATTCCTGCATGACTCATCTATGTTGTGTATGGACACTCAGGGCAACGCCGTGAAGATCCGGGTAGAGAATGGTCTTCAGCAACCCGTAAAAGGCGACTATGCTTGTCGTAAGAGGCGACTAACAGGATCGAGTTGTCAGGCATGGTGAATTGGTTAATGCATGTAATCGTATCCCAATTGCGTGGATTGATGCTCATGATGTCGATCACTGGATTGTCTGATCCAGATTCGATTATTTACAGACCGTCATATAGCTGGAATAATGCTGAGTGCAGCGTTAAACAACAAACAACAACAACAACAACATACAGGGCTAAGACAGATGCTCAGTGTCAATAACTGACAAGTAGTGTACATTGTTGATCAGATGGTCACAATGTTACACCTGGCTAACTGAGTATCACCTTACCAAACAATGTAGATCGTTGGTCATTCTATCAACCACTGGTTTGTCGGGTCGAAACTCAAGTATTTTACAGGCTAATGATATTGTTTACAACATTCACTTACTTGTCCCTCAGTGTTCAAGGTTTGCTGAATAGTCCAAATCTTTATTACTTGCATATACTTACGAACAACTTATGGTAATTAGATCTACATTTTTTGTTTTTGAAAACTTGATTAAGATGTGTGTGTTTGTTGTGTGTGTTTGTTGTGTTTGTTTGTTGTTGTGATTGACACTATGAGCAATGATCCACGCTGTTGGCGTATGCTGACAGATCGTCAACCAAGTCACCAAGTCTGAACCCTGAGCCATTAACTCGCCTCTTACGACCAGCAAAAGCTGCTGGGTATTAATTCTAACCCAGAATCCCCAGTTGGTTGGAAGTTGATTTTAGCAGAATGCAAGTGTTGAACATGTAATGAGGAATTGATAACAGTACCAGGAACCGTTGAAACAGGGTAACCATTCTCACACATCTCAACAAGCTGATGCTATCATCCCACCTGTTAGTGTGCATCCAATGGATTTTAAGGCTGGTGTGCCTGTTCCATGTGATAGGTTCATGACTGATGATATTCTATTCAACATCACTCTCCCACACACAGCTTCATAACTGATGCTATTTTTGGCAGTAACCATATATTCACATATACACAATTATTTTCATACGTTTAGCTAGAGAAGTTATCTATACTCATGTTTTAGTAATGTGGCACTAATTCAATTACAATAAAATAAATTGAGTTTTTGAGTGAAATATGTTAAATTCTGAAATCCTTTACAATTATGCCACACTTCTCATCAATTACATGATAGGTTGTACTTTCCATTTGACTGATTGCTTTCAACATATGAGTAGCTTTGGGAGGGTCTAAATGATAAACCACTTTTGAAAATGTCCTCAGATGGTCTTTAAGCAATAAAATAGTAATTATCATCACAGTTTCAAATCAAACATTTTAAAACAAAGTACATGAAATGGAAAACTTAATCATCATTTACAACTGTTGATTGAAATGGAAGAAGATCACATGTGCTATTTATACCCCTTTAGTAGTTTTGGCTTTTTGATATAAAAAGTTCACAACTTGCATTGGAATTATTGTTTGATAATAGGTCCAAACGAAGCCTGAAATCCCATGGATGAATTATGTTCAGATAACATTTCAGTGCAAAGAAGACGCTGGCTATCAGAACGAAAAATCAATACCTATTGAAGTGTAATTGACGAAAATCTGTCACTTTTGATTGTAGATCACTTAATGAGCTATAAATTTGTTTGGAGGACCTTTATGTTCTTTTTGTCATAAATGCATTGCTAATTTGCTTAAAAGGGTTTCTAGTGTATCGTGCGATATTCATGAGAGTTACAGAAAAAGTGCCCTTATTTCATTGATTTTTGACGTGAGGAAGAAAAAGTCTTAAAAGACTGCAGAAATAAGACTTTTGTCGCAAGGAGCAACACTTTTCGTTGTTAATTGAAAATGAAATCTACATAAAGATTTTGGCCATCTTTTGTGTGAGGAAGAACTTGGTGGGAAAGTCATTGACATATCAAACAGCATCTATTCATTAAAACTGACTTGGTTAAAACAAGCAGGTCATGGTGGTTCAAGTGACCTCAGGTGCCGATTGTGAGTCAATTCAAGATCCATTACTCTCAATCTGGGCAGCGCTTTCAGAATATATTTAAACTATGAGGTTATCTTGGGAACAGGCATTATTTGGGACTGTGTATTTCAAGTACATGAGCTGAATATCATATTGAAAGTTAAAAGATGTGATTGATCGGGCTTGGGAATACAGTCTTCTTTTTAGAAATTGGATTTTTGGCTTGAAATGGAGTGATTGCACCAGACTGAAGAGTGGCTGAAATTTGATTCCCATAGAAATGAATTTATTGACTTCCAATATAGTGATATTGTAGTTTGGGGTGTAAAGTGACATGGCTGGATTCCTGTTTTTGGTAGAGGTGACGTATAGGATGAACTGATGGTAGACTAGTGTTTAAACTTAAAGTGTCATGATTCTATTGCTATCTTTGTAAAATTTTCAGGGGGCAGGGGTGGCCCAGTCAACTAAGGTGCCGCGATTCGCTGTGCAGAGTTGCATCCCTTGGGCACGCCAGAAACCTATGATTGTGGGTTCGAATCCAGGTTCACCCCGATTATGTTTCTAGGTTTGTCAGCACCATTACCTATGCTCGCGGGTTTCACCGAAGTGGTAAACGTCTAAGACCTGCATCACTTCGGGCTTTCCTCCCACATTAAGCTGACACGCTGTGATATGACTGGAATACTGTTAAAAGCGGCGTTAAACCCAACTCACTCACTGTAAAAGTTTCAGAAATCACCTCACATTATATATTCCCACTGTATTTTAGAACATGGACTAATCACTCTTCAGTTTTAGTATGACTAGGAACAAATATGTCCCGTTTATTCCTTCCCTCTTTATTTCTCCCTGGCCCATCTTCCCCCATCATAAACCTCACACGTGGTGTCTATTGATACTCTTTTATGTTGTTTATTGGATTAAGATCTTCCATTTCTTTGAGACAATGGTAACCATGGGTTATCTGCCCTTTCATCATCCTCCCCCTCCGATATCGTCTCCTTCCAACTTCCCACTCCGCCTCCTCTCTCCCCCTCCTCTGACAAAACCTAAGCATATTGCCACCAGCTTGAGCTCCTACACTTAACTTTGACCTTTGGCTCAAGCTAACACCTGGGGCACTTTTTAAGCCAAACACAGTAATTGTCTACCAGACTGTTTTTAGCAAAAAATGAGCAATGAAAATAGCATGGCGAGAAAATGGAATTGTAAGTGTTGCGTGTATTGTTGCAGGTGTCTTGTGCTGTGCTGAGACAGGGGACTGACACTATGCTGCATCCCCTAATCCTGGCCGTCGCCTTGGGGCCAACGCTGCAAGGCATTGTGGGTAAGTAGCTGCTCATTCATCAATTGGACGGCAAACTCAATTGGACTGATTCTGCTGATCGGAGTTAGTCTGGCGTTAGTAGGAAGGTCTGATCAGCCACTCCAAACTCGATACATCGACAGTAGTTACTGTCTTGATTTCTGTTGGTTGAGTGCCGAACAATTTGGACAACTTCACTGTTTGTCAAAGTTTTTGGTTTCTTTCTATCGATCTTTTCACTTTAGTTTGTTGCATGAACTTTTACTTTTACTTTTAGATTGTATTGCATCCTGTGTTCCACACACTTTTAATCGTTGAAGCCTCGGTGGCTGAGTTGGTTAGATCGCTGACTTTATGTGCTAGCGATTAGGTGCCTCACTCTGGCAGTGTAAGTTCGAATCCCGGACAGGACTCAAGCCAAAAAAGTTCTAGAATCTGTGCTTTACTAAGAAAGTGTTGTCACAAATATAACATTTGTTAGACTTTAGGATGGTTTTGGTGTACAAGGTGACTATCTATCAAACTAATCAAACCTGTGTACTGTGTTCAAAATGACTAATCATTCTTCAGTTTTAGTAGGAGCAGGAAAAAATATGTTCTTTTATCAAATGCATGTCACACGTCCTTTATAAATAGTAGAGTAGCCCAGTGGTTAAAGCATTTGGTTGCCAACTGGTTTGCTTTCCAACATATTCCAACTTATGAATCCTTTCCTCTATGTCTGCCATAATATTGTTCAGAGATTGAAGCAGGTGTCATGAAGATTTATCCCCTTAGTTAGGTCAATAATAGTATGTCTAGAGGATAAACGCATGTTTCGAAAACAGATATGTTTCTAGGATATGTTTTTGTTAACCCTTTGTATTATGAAACCCTGCATTTGTCAAAGAAATTGCCATTTTATCTTGTCTGAGGATGTTTGTCATGAGAAATTAATGTTATCATTTTTCTAGATGGTTTGAAGCAGATATGAGCCTCTGTGATCTTATTTCAATTACAGCGATTGAGAGTCGTGTGTATTTATCGTGTTTGACATGAGGTAGCTGATTTCGCATCTGTTAGGGCCGAGATACCTTATCTGACATTTTCCTTCTACATTCACACAGAAAGAGTTAATGATGTTAAACTTTGATAAGAATCATTAAAAAGACAAAGGTTTTAAGAACGCTATCTTTTTCATTTCGATAACACAAGAAAGATTATTTTCCATGATGTAGTTTATGATACGAATGAGAAACCCCTCAAATATCATTTAATGACTTTTTGTGGGTAGATACAGTCCAATGCTGATATGAACAATGAAGCATATCAGAAAGTTCTGGAATAAATGTCACCTATCAATAATGATTTGTATTGGATTTTCCAATGTGAAATCAAATCTTGACAATTTTAGATACACATTTCAGGGAAGCTAGAAGGTCTAGCTGAATTAATAATGCTTTTTTGTTATACAACCATGATAATATCATGTCCCTTTGTTATAAGAAGATAATGCCAACCAAGTATGACATCAATGCTCTTGCAATAAATATTCATTAGCCTAGTGCATGCATTGTCAAGTTAGCTTTGATAAATCGATGTCGAACTTGATGAAAACAAATTGAATCAACTTGATTTTAATTCCTACCTCGAGTTATCTAATTCCCATGTCATACTCAGTGAATGTCAACAGTCATTTGGAGTTCGATTTTCAGGCAGGAATATGTGATCAGAAAATATGACCAGATTAATAGATTTTACAGTCTTGTTTGTTGAGATCCTTTAGATTCAACTTGTTAATAATTTACATATAATGGCAGGCTTGAATCATGATCCCTTCGGGAAAGGAGTGTTTATCTTTTCCCTTCTTGTAACTGATTTCAATCCCAGAGGCTTGATCGAAATATACATTGTATTTCTATTGTTGATTTCATTCATCGACAGTTTTGCCATTATTTTGTATATTGGATTATGTCTATTATCATGAGGAGTATGCTTCATTAAGTTTGTCGATTTGTGGTTTCTTGCTTGGCTGATCAACAAGTCTATTTGTAGTTGATGGCTATTGATTAGAGCATTTAGGAAGAAATTTGAAAACTTGCACCTTGGATGTGTAAAGCCATGTAAATAAACTACTTATTAGCAAATTTGTTTCAAACAGTTAAAAAGTGTGTTATGCCATTGTTTCTAGTAAAATGTTGAATCACATGGAAATTTGTTGTATAGATCATGAATTTGTTCAGGTAATGAGTATGATCAAATATTTGATGTACGCAGACATCATTGTGGTAGGTCTTTTTATAATAATAACAGCATAGACCTGTGGTGTCATTATGAATCTCAAATTAATAAACAATGCTCATCCTGTGTCCAGGTCTTGATTAACCTGTTATGTAATTGCAGTGTAGGTTAATATGGTGAAACTGGCAAACACATTGTCCCAACCCCGTGAGGGCCTCCTTCTCCAACCCGGCACATAGACTGGTTGACTCCTGACTTGCAGCTCTCCCTGTTCCCAGCTCTTGTGTGGGCAGGGTGCCAGGTTTACACAATCTGTATCAGCTTGACTGGTTGCTTACAGATGTTTGTCAACAAACATTCCTGTTGACATCAATTGTTTATTGCTTTGGGCTAACCTCTTTGCATTTCGCAGCTCTCTCTCTTCATTCACTTTTTCTGGAATGATTGTAACATAAGATGCAGTCATTTTTTTCCAGTTTATTTTAATCTCACTTCACTGGACCTGACCCTAGAAACTCCCATTGCCTACTTGACTGATGCCCTTCTCCACCCTGGGGCGTTGCAACCCCTAATTCATTTAATTACGCCACTAACCAATCTATCACTTGTGCTTCCACCCTACTCACCATGGCCATCGCTCACACCCCAACATTTATCTACTTCCTGCTAAGGGCAATATGTGACTCTTTTTTATTATAAAAAACAGCTTGATAAGCACACTGTAACTGCTTACTCCATTGTTCTTCTTGTGTTTTCCTCCCATTTCTGTTTATGCTATACTAAACAACAGGCTCAATGCTCTCTCCTTCCATCTACAACACCTGGCCCACCACTCCAGTTGTCGGTCAACCCTTGCACTCTCTCCCTCCATCCCAAACACCACCCTCACCCCTCCAGGAGTCAACCCCTACACTCTCTCCCTCCATCCCAAACACCACCCTCACCCCTCCAGGAGTCAACCCCTACACTCTCTCCCTCCATCCCAAACAGCACCCTCACCCTTCCAGTAGTCAACCCCTACACTCTCTCCCTTCACCCCAAACACCATCCTCACCCCTCCAGGAGTCAACCAATATGCTCTCTCCCTCCCCCCAGGGCGGTCGGGTAGCCTAGTGGTTAAAGCGTTCGCTCGTCATGCCGAAGACCCCGGTTCGATTCTCAACATTGGTACAATGTGTGAAGCCAATTCTGGTGTCCCCCACCATGATATTGCTGGAATATTGCTAAAAGCGGCGTAAAACCATACTCACTCACTCACTCTCCCTCCAACCCAAACACCACCCTCACCCCTCCAGGAGTCAACCCTACACTCTCTCCCTCCAACCCAAACACCACCCTCACCCCTCCAGGAGTCCACCACTACGCTCTCTCCCTCCACCCCAAACACCACCCTCACCCCTCCAGTAGTCAACCCCTACAGTCTCTCCCTCCACCCCAAACACCTGCCTCACCCCTCTCATAGTCAAACCCTACACTATCTTCCTCCACCCAAAACACCACCCTCACCCCTCCAGTAGTCAACCCTACACTCTCTCCCTCCATCCCAAACACCACCCCCACCCCTCCAGTAGTCAACCCCTACAGTCTCTCCCTCCACCCCAAACACCACCCTCACCCCTCCAGTAGTCAACCCCTACAGTCTATCCCTCCACCCCAAACACCACCCTCACCCCTCCAGTAGTCAACCCCTACAGTCTCTCCCTCCACCCCAAACACCACCCTCACCCCTCCAGTAGTCAACCCCTACACTCTCTCCCTCCATCCCAAACACCACCCTCACCCCTCCAGTAGTCAACCCCTACAGTCTCTCCCTCCATCCCAAACACCACCCTCACCCCTCCAGTAGTCAACCCCTACAGTCTCTCCCTCCATCCCAAACACCACCCTCACCCCTCCAGTAGTCAACCCCTGCACTCTCTCCCTCCACCCCAAACACCACCCCCACCCCTCCAGTAGTCAACCCCTACAGTCTCTCCCTCCACCCCAAACACCACCCTCACCCCTCCAGTAGTCAACCCCTGCACTCTCTCCCTCCACCCCAAACACCATCCTCACCCCTCCAGTAGTCAACCCCTACACTCTCTCCCTCCACCCCAAACACCACCCCCACCCCTCCAGTAGTCAACCCCTACAGTCTCTCCCTCCACCCCAAACACCATCCTCACCCCTCCAGTAGTCAACTCTACGCTCTCTCCCTCCACCCCAAACACCACCCTCACCCCTCCAGTAGTCAACCCCTACAGTCTCTCCCTCCATCCCAAACACCACCCTCACCCCTCCAGTAGTCAACCCCTACAGTCTCTCCCTCCACCCCAAACACCACCCTCACCCCTCCAGTAGTCAACCCCTACTGTCTCTCCCTCCACCCCAAACACCACCCTCACCCCTCCAGTAGTCAACCCCTACACTCTCTCCCTCCATCCCAAACACCACCCTCACCCCTCCAGTAGTCAACCCCTACAGTCTCTCCCTCCACCCCAAACACCACCCCCACCCCTCCAGTAGTCAACCCCTACAGTCTCTCCCTCCACCCCAAACACCACCCTCACCCCTCCAGTAGTCAACTCTACACTCTAACCCTCCGTCCCAAACACCACCCCTCCCCTCCAGTAGTCAACCCCTACAGTCTCTCCCTTCACCCCAAACACCACCCTCACCCCTCCAGTAGTCAACTCTACACTCTCTCCCTCCATCCCAAACACCACCCTCACCCCTCTAGTAGTCAACTCTACACTCTCTCCCTCCATCCCAAACACCACCCTCACCCCTCCAGTAGTCAACTCTACACTCTCTCCCTCCAT